GCAGATATCAGGCAAATGTCTAAGCTGGCCTCAGGATGTTTGGATAACTCCTGGCCTTGTGCAACAGCATCCACACAGATTTCTTCCTTCTTCCCCCTCAGTCCCTTTCTCAACCCTCCCGATGGCCTAGCCACATTCACAGTGTGCAACAAAGTACTGCTTTAAACCACCATGGCTTCCTGCAAAGAATTCTGGGGTCTGTAGTTTGTGAAGGGTGTTGAGAGTTGTTAGGAATACCCCATTCCCCTCCCAAACACGTGGACATTGCATCTGTTTTATGGTAATTTGCTTTTAGTTTATTGTTGACTTTAATTATATTTAACAAGGTTGTGGAACATAATTCCCTGACATATCTACTACAACTATAGCACAGGTTTCTTTTTTTAGGAAACCTGCGGGTGGGAGGAGACCAGCAGCGCCTCCAATTCACCCAGAGGTCCCTTTAGAGGTGCCATTTGGGGGACTGCCAAGGAGGTACGGATCCAGCCTCCAAGGAGTGAACCACAGCCTTCACTACTAGAAGAAGAAGAAGAAGAAGAAGAAGAAGAAGAAGAAGAAGAAGAAGAAGAAGAAGAAGAATAGTTTGGATTTGATATCCCGCTTTATCACTACCCTAAGGAGTCTCAAGGGATGTAGGTGGCACTGTGGGCTAAACCACAAAGCCTAGGGCTTGCTGATCAGAAGGTCAGTGGTTCAAATCCCTGTGACGGGGTGAGCTCCCGTTGCTCAATCCCTGCTACTGCCAACCTAGCAGTTCGAAAGCACACCAGTGCAGGTAGATAAATAGGTACAACTCCGGTGGGAAGGTAAAGGGCGTTTCTGTGTGCTGCTCTGGTTTGCCAGAAGCAGCTGAGTCGTGCTGGCCACATGACCCAGAAGCTGTACACCGGCTCCCTCGGCTAGTAAAGCGAGATGAGCGCTGCAATCCCAGAGTCGTCCACAACTGGACCTAATGGTCAGGGGTCCCTTTACCCTTTACCTTACCTAAGGAGTCTCAAAGCGGCTAACATTCTCCTTTCCCTTCCTTCCCCACAACAAACACACTATGAGGTGAGTGAGGCTGAGAGACTTCAGAGAAGTGTGACTAGCCCAAGGTCACCCAACAGCTGCATGTGGAGGAGCAGGGAATTGAACCCAGTTCACCAGATTACGAGTCCACTGCTCTTAAGCACTATGCCACACTGGCTCCTACTACTACTACGGCAGCAGCAGGCAATGAATTCCCTGAAGGCTGGATCTGCTGCCCCGTGGATCCTGCCGCCTGAGGCAGTCACTTCACCTTGTCTCATGGGAGGGCCAACCCTGATGACTTTGCTATGCTTCTTATCTCTTTTATCTGTTAGTTTCATTCTTGAAGTTGAAAGTTCTTATTGTGACTTAGGTTATTGCATCCGACCCTAATATAACTTTGTGGTGAAGGATGGGTAAAATATTTTCAATAAATGAAATATTTATTTACAGTGGTGTAGCGGGGGGAAGGTGCTAAGGAGCACAGCTCTGGGACTTCTTTCTTTCTGATGAACCCTCCCTGTTCTGGTAAGTGAATGAGGTGATAATGAGGTTTCAGGTTTGTTTGTGACAGATTAGAGGAAGTCGGAGGATAAGGGGAATAGCCAAGCATGCACTGGATATGCCTTTCTTGCCTTTGATGAAGTTCCTGTTTCATACTACTGGTTTAGAAGTTAACACTTTTATTTGCAAGATGGTTTGTGCATCAGATTGAAAGGCTGGAGACCTTTTGTTTAAGCTCAATTTATTTGACAAGTTGAACCAATGCAGTCAGAAGTAAGCACTATAGCGTTTAATGGAGCTGTACACCCAGGAAGCCATGCACAGGGTGGCAGTCATGGTAATCTCTGTAAATTGGGAATTATGCTATATACAGCCCTCCCTCTGTATATATGAGACAAACATTTAAATACACATGTCTATGCATATAAGTAGGGATGGACAAATCTCTCAATTTTGGTTCTCTGCATTTCTCATTTTCCCCATCTTCCTTCCTGTTCTTCACATTTCTGTACCAATCTGTGATTCCCCCCCCCCAAATCCTCATAAAAATCCAGCAGCATTTTAGTGCATGTTTCTCCTAAAAAACACATTTTTGTATGGTTTTGACTGTGTGTGTCAAAATCATACAAAAATGTCTTTTTAGGATAAATTTGCACTAAAATGCTGCTGAATTTTCAGATAGATTAGATAGATAGATAGATAGATAGATAGATGATAGGTGATAGATAGATAGATAGATAGATAGATAGATAGATAGATAGATGATAGATAGATAGATAGATAGATAGATGATGATAGATAGATAGATAGATGATAGATAGATAGATAGATAGATAGATAGATAGATAGATAGATGATAGATAGATAGATAGATAGATAGACAGATAGATAGATAGATAGACGATAGTAATGTCTCGTTCTATAATGTATTTTTATGTTATTCTTCCAATGTGCACACATTATGCTAATATTGTCTGGTTGGAGACCTGCATCACAAAATTCAGAGAAATGTGAATTTGAAATGATAGTTGTGTTTCAGCTTGTACATTGCTTTGAAACATATAGGTTTGGTAGTTTCATATTAAAATGGGGGGGATCAAACTTCCTCTCCATCCCATATATAGGAGGGTGGAAGAGGGGGGTCTGCATTTTTGGAGTTTGTCTTGATGAGTTCCTGCACTTCAAAATTTACCACCACACCACAGCAGATACGAATGAGAAGGGCAAACAAGTGGGGAGAGTGGGAGTCTCCAACCTGGTCTTCAAAGACATACAGTACAGCTCCAAAACCTGACCCACATATGTCCTGCTTTTTAATTTATGGGAAGCACTAAGGTGGACTAGTCAGCAGCTAGCCATAAATCTTTCCTCTTGGCTAAGCCATGTAGACAGGAGGGTTGGGATACATGACTTGAACAAGATTCCAGCCCACTACTCCTCTTGTGTCTGCTACACACACATGATCGTGGTTCAGAAACTTACAGAGATACCTTGAGGTGATATCCAACTACTAGGAGACTCACTGCACAAGAGGCACAAAATCATACAACATATCTTCTATACTGCAAACATTCCACCTTCATGATAGTGCTTTGAGTTGCGGGTGCCAGCATTTGTGAACTCCAGATTCCCCTTGATTCCTGGGTCTGATAGGTGTTAGAATTTAATCAAGGCTTGGAGTGATACAATTGGCTGCCAGATTTAGCAAAGTGTAAAATATAGGCCAAACTAAAATACAAGCCAAACTTCCATGTTCATGAAATCAGTCATTAACCAAAGACCAAGGGAAGGTAATGGGCCATTAGGAAAGCCAGAGAGAGGGGACCCTGCCAGACAGCCCTTGGGAGATGCCCCAACTCCAGGTCTGAGTTAGCAGGACAAAGGCCAGAGTTTGAAGGAGAGCAGTTGTTTAGGATTACAGTTGGCTGGGATGTGTCCACTCAGTTTAAAAGTTTGATCTAAATGCTATTGTGTTAACACCTAGGACCATGCAGGCAAGGCTTAATTCAAAGATGGACTAGTGAAGTGCATCCATCCCGCTGCAAAATCTTCTGCAGGCACAGCCTTTTCCCGTATCCACCACCTCCCACATTCCTTCCCCCTGTCCATCCATCTCTGGCCTTGAAAGAAGGAGAATGGAATTCCTCAAGGCAGCTAAAGACTTGGCTTTGGCCCCTGCCTTGCCGGTTTCAGCTCCCGCTTAATCAAGTGGCATGTGAAGCACGACAGGAAGCTCTGGAATGCAGGGCAGGAACTGACCCGGTAATCCCATGGAAAGTCAGGCCTGCCTTAATGATTCTTGTAAAATAAGCAGCAAGGGTTTAGCACCAGAAATCTCTTTGGGCCAATACCCCTTCGGAAATGCTATTTGACACCGTCCGTGACTAAGGGCTGCTCCAAATGACTTATTTATTGAGCATTTATTTACTGAGCATCTGTCCTGATTTGCTTGCAGAAAGCTTATGTGGAGGTTACACCATGTCTGGTGTCTACTGAGAATTCATTCTGAAGGATCCAACAATCTTAAGTACAATATTCAAAACACTGTAAAACAAATTACAATCACCACTAGACTGGAAGTCTTAAAAATATCTCTCTCCAACATCAAAGGCCAGGATCAAAAGCAGCCTATGAACATTCATCCTAATTTGTTTCTTGAGTCCTTGTACATCTGCCTGCTAATCATTCATTCATTTCACACTGTTCAATGCATTTCCCCATTACTTTCCTAACTGCAAAACTCTGTTTCTTTTCTTAACTGTATCTGTTGCACTAGGAAGATAGAACACTTTAATCTACTGCAAATGGACAACCCTAAATTCCTCAGCATGTACTTAAATCAATCCTTCAAAATTCTGACAGTCTATAGGTGAGGTGGGGGGAGATGCATATTCCACAAGGCCTGTTGGTGATCATGTATAATGGCTGGAGAATGTACAAAATTCAGCCTAGATGTGCACATTCCCCCATAGCCTTATGAACAAAATGTATATTGGCCAATTAATGTGTACAATTCCCTCTTCATGGAAATAGTATGTGCACATGTTCCATGAGGCTTGGTGAACGTATACATTTGATCATGTGTATTGTCAGTTTTAGGGACGCGGGTGGCGCTGTGGGTAAAAGCCTCAGTGCCTAGGGCTTGCCGATCGAAAGGTTGCGGTTCGAATCCCCGCGGCGGGGTGCGCTCCCGTTGTTCGGTCCCAGTGCCTGCCAACCTAGCAGTTCGAAAGCACCCCCGGGTGCAAGTAGATAAATAGGGACTGCTTACTGGCGGGAAGGTAAACGGCGTTTCCGTGTGCTGCGCTGGCTCGCCAGATGCAGCTTTGTCATGCTGGCCACCTGACCCGGAAAGTGTCTCCGGACAGCACTGGCCCCCGGCCTATAGAGTGAGATGGGCGCACAACCCTAGAGTCTGTCAAGACTAGCCCATACGGGCAGGGGTACCTTTACCTTTACCTTTTATTGTCAGTTTTATTTTGGACAAGAGCACAATGGGTATACCAGGTGGTCTGTACGTTCACCTTGGTTGTATTGAAAGTACTGAAAACATTTCTATCAGCATGCTTTCTGCTAAGAGAATAAAAAACACCCTTGAGAAACCCATTTGAAATGAGAGCTTCATCAGCAAAAGTCTTTCCTTCAATAAATTTCTGAGTGAAACCTGAAATGCAGTCTAGGGAAGGCTTTTTTATTGGACAAGTCTTCACCAGCTAGGTCCCAGTAGAAATTGGTGGGCAGAACTCACCATGAATGCCTCCCATGTTCTCTTTTAATGGCAATGGTGCTCACCTGAGAGGTGCCAGAACCTAGTTCTGGTGAGTTCTGGCTAGGGAAAAAAGCCCTAGCCTTTTGTAAGATCAGCTCATGGAGAATAAGGCTACCAGGGCGTACTAAACATGATGGATATGTTACTTCTAGTAACATACTTCCCATCCACACAAACAGCAATTTTATTTCTGTCTGAAATTGCATTGAGGGCTCTTATCAGAGAGCTCCTTCTTAGATTGTGGCCCTCAGCGGATACCCAACCAGGCAAAGCCTTGACACCAATCCTAGCCTGAAGCAGGAACTGCATTTCTGCGTCAGTTTTTCATTGTGGGCTTTGTGACGGTTGTTGGATTTTGCTGTCTCCTGTCTTTGGGCTCCTTTTATGGAGGTCTTAGTCTTAATCCTTAATCCCTCCAACTAAATTTATCAGCTGTTGATTCTAGCCAAGAGTTAAGCTAAATTAAACTTTGGAATTCCATGTAGAGTGTATCAGATGCACTTGAGTTAAGGGGAGGTGGAGCTGCAACCCAGCGAGTGCCCTAATTACAAGCTGCCTGGGGAGCCATCCTTCACACCAGAGGCTTCTTTCTCACCTCTTCAAGCCTGTTACAGTTTTGGTGGCTTTGACATGACAGAAAACTGATCCAGGGGTGCAGTGCGCCAAGTCAAAACACCTACTGTCCAGCAGGTGTGTCTGAGTATCGTGTCTGGACATGCACATGCCAGGCATTGACTGCAAGGTTTGATCTGTCTCTGCATGTTTGCATGTGTGACACTGTAATCTCATGGCAAATTTGTGGTCTTTGATAGCAAGTGTGCATGCATGAGAAAAATATAAGAGAAATCTTTTTATATGCGACAGCCGCTGCCCGGTTATTAATTGCATCGAACTGGAAAGGGGGGAAAGTACCAACAGTAAGGGAATGGCAGAATAAGTTATTTGACTATGCAGAAATGGCTCAATTGACAAATAGATTAAGGGGAAATACAAAACAGTCATTCACGCAAAAATGGGATATGTTCAAGAAATACTGTACCTACAAAAATACAATAATGACACAACATCTATGGCAGTGTTTGAATGACCCTTGTGTAAATTAAATATTATTAAATAAGGAAAAATGGTACGATATGTTATAAGAAAGTATTAGAAAATATAGTAATAGTAAGGTAAGAAGTATAAGTACATTCAATGTTGTAAATGTAACTTACATCAGGAAATGACGGGAAGTATATTTTGACATAATTTAGTTTATTGGATTTTACTTTGGTTTATTTTTGTCTAGTTAGAAAGTATAAGAAAAGAGCACGTATAAGTACAAATTTAAATCAATATTTAACGGTATAAAGGTTGTTATTATTATTATTAGTTTTACCTTTTCTTTGTATGTGTATTTAAGACTGTGTATGATATTCTTGGATGTCAATTAATAAAAAAATAAAAAAGAGAATGCCTGTGCCCTTTCCCATAACTTACTCAGATGTAGTCTCTCACACACTTATCCTCTGCTATGCAAAGCCATTTCTCACATTAGACAGGGGCAAAGCTGGATCAATAGGAAACTGCAGGCAGATACTGTACGCAGATCAGTGTCCTTGTGTTGTACATGTGTTAGATACAGTGCTATTTTTCTAGGAAAAGAGGTGCCAGACCTCACCATGAACGCCTCCCTTGTTCTCTTATGAAGGCAATGGTCCCCACCTGAGAAGTGCCAGAACTGAGTTCCGGCTGGAAAAAAAGCCCTGGTTAGATGAAATGTGTTTGTCACATTCACACATTTTGTATTTAGATTTGCGCTTAAAAACAGGCACAGACCTGAAAGCATAATGGAAAAAAGTGGCCCCGACATGCGAGCATATGTGGAGACAAACACCTGACTTTCAATGCATGCAGTAAAACATCTTTCCCCTTCCCTCAAGTAAATATTCACAGAGAAATTAATGGAGGCTTGAAGTCTGTGCATTGAAATGCTCGGCTTCTGAAACCAGAAATCACCTGTTATGATTCTTTTCCTCTTAAGAGCAACAGTGAATTCCAAGCATATGTGAAATTGCTTAATTTTCAGTAAGGATTGAGGATAGGAAAGGATTTGTGAGATATTAAGTGGGCAATGTATTTGTAATATCTGGGGGAGGTGGTTTGGGGCTCCTGGAAAGGATGAGGAAGTGTGCAGACATACGCCTTCTGAACTTTTGATATACTGACCACATGAGGACTAAAAACTTATTTTATTTTTGAAAAAAGGCTGGTAAAATATATTAGTAGATTCTCCAATGGATTGCTTCTCTGTGCACTGAATTTTGGCTCTGCAGATGTATATTTTTCCATATTAAACAACTGATATTTTTTTCAATTTAATACTGTAATTTATTCCATGCGTCCAATAAAAATTGAAAAATAGTTTATGACATTTTGGGCTAAGAGCTCTCACCCCTACTTTTAATTGTTGGAGTGGCCAGGGCAACCCAGTCAGATGGGCTGGGTGTTGTTGTTGTTGTTAAAAGGAATTACCGGTAAATATTAAAAGGCAGCCCTTCTGCCGTTCTCTCTTTTTCCCTCACAGTCTAATTTGGCCCTTAACAGTGATCCAAAAGAGTGACTCCCAGCTTGCTCTCTACCCTGCTCCACACTGAGGTGAGAACTGCAGAAAAGCTGTAGAGTTCTTTATTATTATTACTATTTATTAATATTACAATAATTAGTTAAATTAAGTAAATCACCTGTCCTCGAAAATCAATGGCAGGGGCCATCAAGAATAAATCAGATCACCTGGTTTCAAAGACTTTGCTTCCACCTGTCGCTACCTTCCAGATCTGTCTCTGAAGGGTGGCCAAGCTGGGCTTTCGTCAGAGCCCCAAGACCAGCAGAGGGCCCACTGTCCTAATCATAATACTACCTTTCCCACTTTGCACAGAATGTCCCAGATAATCAGATGCAGCCTAGGAGAATTCCCAGTTTGTATATCCTGCCTTTTCCATGGTAAGGGTCACATTGAGGGAGTTATGCCAGAGCCCCACCCCCCATGCTAGTCACAGGTCAGTAAATGACTTCAGCAGAAGCACTGGTGCCTGGCCTTGTGGCGCTGTTCTGTTTATTATCTCCTCTCCTCCAGGCAAGAGTTCTTACATAGTCTCAATGGTTCTTCCCCCCCTACTAATTGTTTCCCAGTGACTGCTGTGATATGGAGAGATTTCTACTGGAATGGACTCATCTCACATTCTGCAAAGCACATATATTTCTTTTGTGGTGACTTCAGTGCTTGAATTGGAGCAGTCTCAGCGGGTCTTTTGCAACCATTAGGTTTAGAGTTGGAAGACAGTTTTCTAACGTTGCGTAATTCCATGGATAATAAATAAAATCAGCAAGGGAACTAACATTTTTAGAATTTGCATATGCATTATGCTTACCTGAGCAAACGTGAAGGTGATGCCACTGACCACATAGTGATCTCACTATCATTATTATTTTTTAATTGAATACCTTTAAAATGCTAGAAAGAACTGAGAACGATCATTTCCTGGGATCAATGTCCCAATACGCACTAACTGAACCTGCATCACTAACTGAAACAGCATATTTGACTGGAGAATTGCTGGCTGAGAAGAGATTGAAATGGTTTTTTAGACTGAGTAGTGACCTCCAAAAGAAACTCTATGGCCTCAATAGACCAGCAATTGGAGAAGGGAGGAACCTCCTTTCCTTAGCCAGATATGCAGGTGAAATGTCCATCTCTGGAAATAGGATGTGCTAACTGGTCATTCAGATTTACCCCAAAAAAGTAATAAATTGTGTCCATAAAGCAAAAAAAGAATCAGGAGGGGGAGAAGGCCTTTTGGATAGTGCTTACTTTTCTTTTGCTAGAGTCTACATGTGAAGCTTGAGAGGGATTAGGAGTGTGAGTAACTTGAGAGCAAAATGACCAGCCTGTCCACTGAAACAGATGCCTCGCCATCCAATAAGCAGAAATATATTTTGCACTAGGCTGATTGAGTCCCTTGGGCAATTGGGACATGTGCAGTGCAATTCTGTGTATCTCAATATTCCACTGCATTCAGTGGGGCTGTTGTGGTCTGGAGGCAATACAGTGGTACCTCGGGTTACATACACTTCAGGTTACATACGCTTCAGGTTACAGACTCCACTAACCCAGAAATAGTGCTTCAGGTTAATAACTTTGCTTCAGGATGAGAACAGAAATCGTGCTCCGGCGGGGCGGCAGTAGTGGGAGGCCCCATTAGCTAAAGTGGTGCTTCAGGTTAAGAGCAGTTGCAGGTTAAGTACGGACCTCCGGAACAAATTAAGTACTTAACCCGAGGTACCACTGTAGTGGACTGGATGAGGACCAATAAACTGAGGCTGGAACTCAACAAGGTGGAGGCACTTTGGGGTTGTGATTCTCAGAACTAGGAATTGCTTTGGCAGAGTTGCACACATTTTGAACCTGCAAGCGGCAGACACCCCAAGCTTGGCAGTAGTTCTCAATCCAGCTTTGTCATAGGAGACCCAAGTGGTGTTAGTGGTAGTGTGCTTATTTCTAACTATAGTCTGCTCACAAGCTACAGCCATTCCTGGACAGAGATAGCCCAGGCGTGATAATCCATGCCTTATGACTTGATTACTGAAATGGTCCCTGCTACATGGGGCTGCCCTTGAAGATGGCCCAGAAACTACAACTGGTGCAGCCGGAATGCTGAGCAGTTCATTCTGCTAGAATCACGTAACACCGATTCTGAAGGATCTGCACTGTCTGCCTTCATTTCTCCAGGCTCAGTTCATTATCTCAGGTACCTGGTACCTGATCCAGCTGCTGTTTGCCTGGAATTGCTAGTGATTGGACCTAGCATGCGTTCTGCCACTGAGCTATGTGGGCCCTCCCTTTATGGTTAGGGATAGTTCGTAATTATGAGCTGTCCATTTCTTTTAGAAAAACTGTAAGATTGTCCATCAATTTTTTTGAGGTGAAAAGCATCAACTTATGAAGAGGAGACATCTATTCATCATCAGCTAGGCATATTTTGACATCCTACTCCCTTCCTAATTTCCCTCCTTAATTGGTCATACCAATAGTCATATACCAAGTCTGGCTTGTTGCTCATTTGGTTGCCAATGTTTGTGGTTTCAGACTGACCCAGGGCTGTATGAAGGCCATGCAAAATAAACATTCTAAAATGCATGTCATGCAGTCCACACTCCTGTGACATCAATGGCATCACAATTGCTCTGGGTGTCCAGTTCTGGTCCTGCAGAGGAGCCCACAGGGCAAGGCGGTTCCATTGTTGCAGCACCAACGAGAGCTCCTCGTTAGCAACCTGCTCTGGCAAGGATTAGAAGTCATCTGAGGTATTTTGAACCTCTGTCTCCAGTCCACCTCTCTTGGGCTTCACGCCCTGTTAAAGAAATAGACTCTCTTAAAGGGCCAACTCTCTGGCCTGAAGATGGGCACTTCTCCTATGCTCCATGACCTGCCTGGTGCACTCCCAGTGCCATTAGACTGGCAAGGTAATATAGGAGGCACTCAGTTCTTTGGATCTGGAAAAAAGGCACCCAGAAAGGTCCTGGTAGGGGTTCAATGGGCCTTGGTAAGGTAGGATTTGGTTCAATGAACTTGTGCCTGCCAGCCTCAGGTTCTGTCTTCCCCTGATCACCCGCATTAGATATAACCTGAAATGTGGGCTAGCTGCTCTGTT